CTGAATTGGGCTTACTGGGTTTAATTGGGAGCGATATAAAACAGAAATTGGTTTTTGCTGGTATTTTCCATGATGGAAAAGTCCGATTAGGATTCTACTGTTTTTTAGTGGTTTCGATTGGTTAAAGCTACCAATAGGTAATTTCCAATTGAATTCAATTTTGCATTCCCAGTGTAAGATTCTAGAAAGGAATCTGCTAATTGGTTATTCCCAATACTTTAAAATATGGAAAAGTCCAATTAGGATTCTACTGTTTTTTAGTGATTGGTTAAAGCTACCCATAGGTAATTTCCAATTGAATTCAATTGGGCATTCCCAGTGTGAGATTCTAAAAAGGAATCTGCTAATTGATTATTTCCAATACTTTAAAATATCGCAAGAGGGCTCTCGTGTAGCTGCGCAAAACCAACGTAGGCAGTCCTTGTTCGAATGGTTGAGACGCTATCATAAAGAAACAAACAAGTCTTTGGACGCTATTTAATGTCGTTTTTGTATTAGTCGGTTTCTTTTATAATCTATGGGTTTCTGTGCTTAGTGGTAGTTGTGTATTTATAGTGGTGTGTACTTATACCTTAAAAAAATGTTTATATGTGTAAGGTTTAGGTACGATGGCATGAAAATGGTGGTTACAGCGGACAAAATAAAAAATTTGACATAAATAATATTGATTTCGACTGCAAGAAAGACAAAAAAATGATTATAAGCGAGTAATTTTATTTTTTTTTTAATTTTTTTGTCTTAGTAAGTTATATCTATCAATATATATCTCACTAACACAAAAAAGTAATAAAGAAATAAAGTTACTTAGTTATAATAATTTTTTTGTCTCTTCTGTGAAAAATGAGTTCTGGTTTTTACCCGGTTATTCTTCTGGGATCTTATCCTTATCTTATCTTGAATTTTTAATCCAAATTTAAAAAAATAAATTGGTTCAAATTGGTTTGGCGCTATGAATTACCAATTCATTCCAGTTGCATTTCTATTGGATTTAACCAATAGAGACAAGCATAGGCATGGATTGGTATATTCCAATTTAAGCCGCTGACTTCATTGGATCTTACCAATAGAAATGCAACTGGAATGAATTGGTGATTTATAGCGCCAAAACACATTTTAAAGCAATTTATTATTTTTTATAGGTTTCTATTGGTCATTTACAATAGGAAACGCACTGTAGGTTTGGGGGTTATTTCAGAAAATACTCAAGGTGGAGGGGTTTTGGCTTACTACCAAAAATCGTCATAATTATAACATATTTTTAATAAAAAATATGGATATTAATAAGTTTTTGTTTATTTTAGACCCTAGTTTAAACCCTTGTTTAATTTGGTATGTAATGTAATATTTATAAGCGTAAGAATAAACTAAAATATAATTATAGTTTTGAGTGTTTTTATTTGATATTGTAATAAAGTAAAAAAATAAAATCTACCTTAGTTTTATTTTAAAAATTACTTGACAAACACGTTTAGTTCTTCATATAGTCTTTAAAATACTTTCGTATAACATATTGTATATTTTCTCATTCTTTATATATGTACCTTGTTACTGAAATAAACCAGCTTTTTTGTTTCAGGGTTGAACCAACCACTAAAAGAAAACCTCGTACTAGAAAATCTTACGAATTTGAAGATATAAATTGCCCGTATTGCAGCCATTCGACAAAACGCAAACAAGACCTGCAAAAACATGTCTACAGGATGCATCGAGAACAAAACGAAGTGGAGAAAAAAATAGAAATAACGTGTGAGATTTATAGTTGCGATAAATGCGACTACACGACGGTTTCAAAGAAGAATTTGGAGATTCACTCTTTTAAAGTTTGTAAGAATTTGGATGCGCCAATATTGACTTGCGAACACTGCACATTTATAACAACTATGAAGTTTAAAATGCAGAAACACCTTAGGACGCACACATCCAATATTAAGTGTTTGTACTGTGACTTTACAGCGGTGGAAAATCGAATGATAAAGAGGCACATTTATACCAAACATAGGCAACAAAATGATGTAGAAAATAAAGTGCAACTAATACTACAAACTTGTGTATACTGTGATTTTACCACAGTAGATACACAAACATTGCAAATGCACATATACAGAAAACACAAGGAACAAAACGAGTTAGAAAAGAAAGTACCTATTATCATAAAAACTTACTCCTGCGACAACTGTGACTATACAACAGTAAGGAAATCAAGCTTTCACTCGCACACAATATCATGCAAAAAAATACGGGTAGAAAGCACATTTAAATGCCATCAGTGCCCATATAAGTCAAACACAAGCCAAAAACTAAGGTGGCACCAAAAGATCCACCAAATCCCGAACTTTTTTTGTCCATATTGTCAGCTGGTTTATAAAAATTCCAGATCTTTGCAAATGCATGTTATAAGCAAGCACAAAGAACAAAATGAAGAGGAAAACAAGGTTGCCTTGACCATTAAGGTTTACAAATGTGGTATTTGTGAGTTTACAAACGCAGAGAAGAAAAGAATGATGGTTCATGAAGAAAAATGTAAAAAAGGAAGAAACGTTAAAGACTTTTTACGGGTAAAAAACAAAATTGTCTAACTATACTTACCTGTATATCTCTAGATTTAGATTTATAACATGTTTGTTCTTGGTTTTATTTTTTTTATTAAACAAATTACCTAATTATTATTTCATTAAGTATATTTAATAATTTAATTTTCTTGTAATCGATGAACCCATATAAAGGCAACTAAATAATTAGTTTAGTTGTACATATAGGTATTTGTTATTAGGCGTTTTTAGTTGCCTACTCTGGGTTGCTTACCCGGGTTACAAAAGTCCAGAAAGGTTTCACCCTTGTGGAAATTTTTCTCTGAGAAAGATTTGAAAGACTTACTTTAAAACATAAAATAAGACTCTTCAGGAAGAGTTATTCTGACTTCGAAATTCATCAAAGTTGTATTTGGTTATTGTAAAAGAAAACACCAAAAAAAGTATTTATAAACATTGTTTTTGTGTTGTTAAAAGGCTTATAAAACAGAAGCAATGTTTACAATAAAGGTAAGCAAAGTTTATTTCAATTTATCACAATAAAACAGTTGAGACCTACGTTTGGTTTGTGTACATTAGGCTGGTTCTTATTTGACCGATGTCGGTCATTTTAAAAAATATATAAAAAAATGTATGCCAAATTTGAATGTCATAACTTATTTTCTTCAATTGCCTGTAACAACGAGAAGTTTTCCAGATAGAGGATTTTTGTCTTTAATATATTAATTTTTTAAAATTATAATTATTTGAGAAAATGTAATGTATTTTTATCAAAAGGTCTTTTTTACTTCGCTAGAATATTAGAGTTTTCCTTATAGGCACGGTGGTCAAAACTTAAGTATAGGACGAACAAAAATGCCAACCAAAACTGATAGCATATTTTGATTATAGACCCTTTTGGTAACACTAACATGTATTTATCAAAATCCCAGCTGATCCTATTTTAAAGTTTTGCAAACTTTTTTGTTTTTATATTTCTATAAATTATTTTGCAATTATTGTACTAAAACTACCTGTAAAATTTTAATAAAATTAAGCAAAATAATAAACTTTATATCATTTAAATTACTTTACTCCCGAGTATTAATTTATTGAGCCACCTATTATTTTTTACCACTCAAAACAAAGCATAACAAAGAAAAACGAAGATTTATATCTTAAATATTTTTTATAACAAAAAATACTGGAAGTTTGTCTATGAAATAATTACAACTTGCAAATGTTGTAAAACAATAATTAAGGTGGTTATGAAAAAAATTGCTATACGTTATAACGCAAGTGACATTTTGCTTTAGTTGTTTATTTAATGTATACTTTATAAAGTTAAAAATAGTATTTTAAAATAAAAATTAAACCGAAATTCAAGTTAAGCCATGAAGAAAATCGAAAGAAGGTATGTGCTGGCTGTAGAGACAAAATTGTTTTGGTAATCGAAAAATTCAGAGTTTAGGGTTTCTGAGAAAATATAAAAATTACTGCAGACTCTTTCAAACTTAAGTGATTCAAAATTACCTACTTATATGGTAAAAACGGTATTTTTCCATAGCCACAATTGCCAAATTTTTAAAATTTAGAAATTGCTAGAGAATTTCGCGGCAGCCAAGAATGTATGTGCTTTATCTGCAAAATGGCAAGATATAAAGGGCATAAAAAATTATTAAGGGAAGAGGACGGACGAACGAACTAAAGTTTTGATATGCTCTTCCTTTCTAGGGGATATCGCTAGATGTAAGAAGCATGTTTGTACAGAGACTGAAGAATTTAAAAATACTGTTTCCATGTTAAAGACAATTCCATGTAAAACCCAAGAAAAAGTTTTACTGAAAATTTAAGGCAAGCAGTAATCGATTTTGCTTCAAAGAACCTTTAGTTATTTATTAGTTTTGTTTTAGGTTCCTTAAAACAATAAATAAGATATTTCAAACTGTATTTTACATTATTTATTATTTATAATGTAATTTGTCCATATTTCAGTCACGTATCTGCCAAATTTTTAAAAATATTTAATAATGGTACTAGAGTATTTTATCGAAATGGCATAAACAATTTTAAAATACTAAGAACTACCAAAAGAGTCTATAATCAGATTATGCTATCAGTTTTGGTTGGCATTTTTGTTCGTCCTATACATTAGTTTTGACCACCGTGTAGGGGCTTTTTGCTTTATAACGTAATATTTTTTTTTAAATCATTAGCGGTTTCCATATCATTATAGGAATGCACTTTGGCGTTGTCAGTCACCGAAATGTATAGAAGACTTACAATAAAATGCTTAAAAAAGTTATGAGTGAATTTTTTTTATCATTTTAATGTGCCTCCAACAGGCACCACGCCTAAAACCGTATAGGGTACTATAGTACACACTAACAAAAACAAATAAACACCCAAATTAGGGAGGTACAATTAACAAGAATTGTACATACTTTTTATGGTAACATCAGTAAATTGTAATTAAATAACATACGTTTTAAATTATTTTATTATTTAAAAAAAATAACATTTTAAGGTACTGGATCCTTCCATAATGTTAGGTTGACTGCTGGTAAATTATTGCATGATGTTGGAAGATTTCTAAAATAGTAAAACAAAATTTAAAATGTATGTAAGGAGTCTATTTTAAATGTTATGTACTTACATCAGCGATATTTTTTCGAACCCCCTTGGTTGCATTAATTTAACATTATGAGAGTTATCACATAAAAGTCTTGAAATACTTGATTTTCTAATTTCTTTAAGTTGATCTAAAAAAATTCACGATGTCAAACTTTGCTTTCTTTAAATCGTCCCTTGTGGAAATTTTTCTCTGAGAAAGTCTTACTTTCTCTTAAAAAGTCTGAATAATACTTATTAAGTCGGAAAAAGTCTGAATAAGTCTTATTAAGTCAGACTAATAGCAAGATTTGTTAATAGTTAATAAGACTTTTTAAGACTTAATAAGACTTTTAGTAGAGAAATAGTAGGTACCTATGGCGATAAAAATAAATATCCGAAATAATTCATATTTGGTTATCGTAAAATAAAAGTATTTATTAACATTTTTGCTGTTGTTATAAGCCAAATTTATTGCATAATTACCTATACAGGGTGTTATGTAATTAATGTTATATATTAAAATACTGAATACCTTTTGACATAAGGAATAAAGGAAAAATATTTAAAAAAACATTTTTCCAAAGATAAAGAAAAAATATGCATTAGAAGTTTTTTATATTTTTTGTGATACGCCACTGGTTACACACTTGTTTATCTCTGCACACCTGTATTTTGTGAGTACATAGATACCAACCAACAAAGTAGCTATGCGTTGCCAGATGTAAAAAATTGTTACTAAAAATTTTTCTTGCAAAAAATAAATAAAAACTCAATAAATACAAAAGTTTTATGCCCTTAAAGCTCTAATACCCTTCTGTATTTATTTACTGATCCAGCTATTAGCTTAAGCAATAATTAGAAAATTTAGTACCTTTGAAATTTGAAATCCATAACCACAAAATTAATTTTTTCATCAGTTTTTTTCTCTGTTTACTCAGATGAAATTGGGACCAGTTCAATAAATCCAAAAGCACTTCCCTTAGTTAAGATATTTACAATTTGAAAACATAACCTAAAATTTAAAAGAAATGCACTAGATTCTGTCATAAAAGTTGGCAGATTTTGTTTGAATTTACCTTCAGTACAAAAATGAAAAAACCAACAATTAATAAAAACGCCAAATTGACAATTTGCATTGTTAATTTTGTCATTTTTGTAATTAAGCTAAATTTAAACAATGTTTGTCAACTTTTTTGAGAGATTTTGGAAACACTGTTGTTACCAACCATAACATAATAAATCCACCAGATTAACCTAAAGTTCCTAGTCGATCAGTTGCGTACTTTTTGGTAGGATAAAGGTTATTATAAATTATTTTTAGACTTTGGAATTTAGAAAAAAAAAGTTTCAGGTGCTTCTTTATGGACCCTAAGAAACAACCCATTTTAATATATAACATTAATTACATAACACCCTGTATAATAACATAGGTAAGATGTAATAATTATAACAATTATAATTTTATATATACGTATATACGTGTATACATACGATGCGCTTGACATGCTTTCATTGTTTCCAGTGGAAACAATGAAATGAAACTTTCCACCATAGAAAAAGGAGTTAATATCATGTCTATAGACATGATATTTTCGATAGACTTATAAGACAAATATGGTTGATCTTTGTGTTTCATTCATCTTTGCATCATGGTTGATCTTCGTGTTTACGTACAGTGTTGCCATAAATTACAAAATACTAAAATAATAATAAAAATGTAACACGATAGAATAAAATAATTGTGCATATTTAGTAAATATACAATATTATTTACTGAAAATTTCTTTTGTTATTATTTTGATAGAAATTCGCAAATCACCCGATTTCGCCCGCTAATATTACGAAAATACCCGATTTTCGAGTAAAATACTAGTAAACGGCAACACTGTGTCCCACTGACAGGTCAGCTGTGCTCTAATTGGTCAGCTAGCTGAGCTGGTCTCTCGATATTACCTACGTCTAGAAGATTTGTTTGAAACAATGTTTTTAGATAGGTAAATATTTCCGTGCATCAAAAAAAACTATTAAAATAAAACATACAGTGGCAACTTTTTTTTCTATGGTGGAAACAATGAAAGCATGTCAAGCGCATCGTATGTATAAAATTATAATTGTTATAATTATTACATCTTACCTATGTTATTATATAGGTAATTATGCAATAAACTTGGCTTATAACAACAGCAAAAATGTTCATAAATACTTTTCTATGTGTTTTATTTTACGATAACCAAATATGAATTATTTCGGATATTTATTTTTATCGCCATAGGTACTTACCATTTTTCTACTAAAAGTCTTATTAAGTCTTAAAAAGTCTTATTAACTCTTCCAGAAGACTTCCAAATCTTGCTATTAGTCTGACTTAATAAGACTTATTCAGACTTTTTCCGACTTTCTCCGACTTAATAAGTATTATTCAGACTTTTTAAGAGAAAGTAAGACTTTCTCAGGGAAAAATTTCCACAAGGGGTGTTTGTAATTAAATTTTAATATCTCTTATTTTACCTAAAGTAAATCCAGTCTCGCCACCATTTTCAAACCAAAACCTGTCACCAACCCTGGTCCTATAGAATTGTTTTTTTATGATACACAAAAAGGTCGTTCCAACCATCGCTGGCTTTGCGTGATTTTCCAATGATCCACCAACAGATAAATCTATGTCGTCCACATTTTTATAAATCTTTGAAAGTTTGAAAACAACCTGAAAAAGATATGTAATACAATAATAATGTGTACTATTTCGATAATTTAACGATTGTATGACATTTGACAACTGTCAACTAACTTTAAATTAACTTCAGTCCGTGACTAAAAACCTGTTGCTAACTTCAGCCAGTGACTAAAGCACCATAATGTGTATTTAAAAGATCGCTTAGTGTCATGGAAACAAGTACTATAATCGGCGTTTTAAAGGTGGAAGTAAAAAAAATATTTTGTACCCCTTTACTTACCAAAGGCGACATTGAACCCAATAGGTCCCAGAACGTTTTAGCCCTTTTTAGTCCACAATATTCTCTATAATCATTGTACCTAGCTAATCCATGGTCTCGATTTCTTTGTATATCGGTGGCTTTAAGATCCTTTCCAAATGTATTGTTTCCTCTAAACAAAAATTGAGTTATCTAAAATAAAAAACACATACAGTTAATTTTTTTTTAATCTGGACTGCGGCAACGTTGCAAATTTAGGGTTTTGGTTGGTAAATACAGTTGTCAAGTTGGTCGCATTGATTAAAACAAACTAATCTAGTTATAAATCTAATTGTGGTTATGTATAAATTATTGTAGGTTACATTGTGCAGTTGTCAAGTTGATTTGTCGAAATTCGTAGTTAAAAATGCAATTAATTTGGCTTTGGTGGTGCTTGGATGAGTAAAATCATATAAAAAAGTAGTTAAATATAGGTTGCTTTACGGCCCAGAAGAGAAAGTATTCCTAGCGGATAATAATCTTCGCTTTGAAAAGAATTTATATAAAAGAAATTAAAATTTTTTGTGAACGTAAATGTTGTCCAATGGTGAATAATGTGATAATAATGTGTGATGTAATATTTATAAAACCAAATTCGTTACTTTTTTACTTCAAAAATGTCCATAAGGCGATGTACTTTTTCTTCCATTGTGGCATTTGGCATAATTTCATCAAAATGAAGTTTTGCCCTCAAAAGGGCTTTTACATTCGGATTTGTTGCTATTATTTTTGGCATAATTATACTGTTATTTATAATTGACAAGTAAATTATCAATGGCTGTGTTCCGTAATTTACTGCCATTACTGTCAGTAATTTTACTGTCAGTAGCGGAAAAGGACCGTTCCGTAATTTATTCAGTACTGACGCACAGTGAAATTGGAACGCGCCTCAGTAGCAGCAGAAAGTGACAATGGTTACGCAAGGTTATGTTTTGTGATTTACTGACAATTGACAAATAGAGAATAGAGAACATAAATAAAAAATAAATATAACAGTTACCTATAAGAAATATAATGTTTGGTTTATGGCAGAGAAATATGAAAAAATTAATGTTATCGTCGTCCGTGTCGAAAAATGTATATAGGATTCCTATCCGGATAGGAAATATAAAATTTCACTGACACCACAACAATAAGCCAAATACCAAAAATTACTCTTAAATTCGTCCGCTGAATACAAATATATAACATTTTCTAGGTACTACCTATAGGTAGTACTATAGTAGGTAGTTTCATATTCTGGGTCTTCGTATGCATAGTCCCCGCCGACCTGCCTTCGTCACTGCTGCTTGTACTTTCAAGTAATATTTTATCAATAAATATTGAAATAATTAGTCCCACCAAATACCATTATATGATATAATTTATATCCTTCACTTTATTTGACAGCTATTTTTTGTTTAAAAGTTTGGTTATGTGTTTTACTGGAGCCACAGCACCTCTCTGTCCCCAGTTGTTTCAGTAAAATTAATCTGCCGTACATTTATAAAAGGGTAGTATTTACCACTGAGCTCAGTAACTGAAAGTGGATTTCGGAATGCGTTTTCAGTACCGACAGTACTGACAGTAAATTACGGAACATAGGCAATATTAAATATTATTGTCAATTTGACAGTGTCAAAGTATTTAATTAAATTCTTTATCAGAAGTACCATTTTTAAATACTAAAAATACTAAGCCAAGCCACCAACCTAACAAAAAAACACGAGTCCAGATAAAAAAAATTAACTGTAAATGTTAATTTTTGTTTTACTGGAAAGTGGACAATCTATCAAAAAATCATTACAATAATAATCGTTGTTTCTAAAAAGGAAACAAAAAGTTCAGTAAAAATTATAAAATTTAAAATATTTTTTATTTATCTACAGACATGATCATTTAAAGACGGACCAAAACAATCACATTTGAAACTCGTGATCGAGACTTTTGCAGGTGGACAGCGCGGTCCTTATTGGTGAATAAACAGCATTCGATTAGAAGAAAAGTACATTAATTCTTTTTCCGAAATAGAAAAATGTCTTACCTTGACGAAACATGGATTAATGCAGGGCATACGACATCCAATGGCGAGTTCTGGGACACCCTTTATATATTTTGTCAAATGAATATCGTTTGGATATCTTTAGCTTTCAATACGATCCTGTTCAATGTTTTTGTTTGAATAGCAAGTGCGTTGCGCGTGATTTTATTAATTTAAGTCCGTCTGGTTAAATGAAAAGACTGTAGTGGATTATTATTACTTTTATTAAGAACATAACATGCAAAAAATGGTAAATTTTTTAGATGAGCATTGAAATACTTACTTCTGAAGTGTGAAATGCATCAGCTAGGTATTCAGATTGCGTCGCTAAACCTCTGGACAAATCATCAAAATTGTTTTCTTCTTCCAAGATGCTTGGTCTGTTAAGCCAAGAACTAAGTCTTACTTTGGAAAAACTTAATCTACTTTCCAGCACCAACCTTAAAAACACAATTATTGCACCAATATTCTAGACTTCTAGACCTTGGTTATGGTTAAACATTCCAAAATTTATTTATCGCATTCCTAAAACTTGACCTGCTTATGGTTTTTAAATTCGTATGTTTGAATATGTCATACCATTCCATACATAGAAGAATAATATTTATTATTGATCAGTTTACTATTTACTTTAGTTTCTAATTAATGTTTATTTTATGCTTTCAGTTTATATTAACTTAATTCTATCCTATTACGAGCCCTAACCACATAATGTTCGGACACTTGGTCAATTCTCATATAACTTGTTCCAATGCTGTATCCACTTATTTTTGTGAAAACTAATTCTCGCTCAAGGTTTTTTTTAGTGTAATAAGCATGTAGCATTTCAAGGTAATGGGAACTTAAATTATGACAACCCTAATCTATTAATTTTTTCCTAAAATGCAGGCTTTATGTTGCAAATGTCACATAAGTTACCGGTCACCAACTGCAATATCCTAACATCGATGAATATTTCAACAAAATGACCGTTCAAACAACTAATGTTAGTGCTTGATTAACTAAAAATAGACTTAAGATTGACAAAAAATTATTTTATCCGAAATCGGCAGTAAAGTAGTCAACAATCGTAAATTAAAATAAATCGGCAGTAAAGTTCTACTTTACTGCCGATTTCGGATAAAAGAATTTTTCGTCAATCTTAATTAAGTCTATATTGAGTTAATCAAGCACTAACATTAGTTGTTTCAACAGCCATTTTGTTAAAATATTCATCAATGTTAGGATATTGCAGTTGGTGACCGGTAACTTATGTGACATTTGCAACATAAAGCCTGCATTTTAGGAAAAAATTAATAGATTAGGGTTGTCATAATTTAAGTTCCCATTACCTTAAAATGCTACTTGCTCATTACACTAAAAAAAACCTTGAGCGAGAATTAGTTTTCACAAAAATAAGTGGATACAGCATCGAAACAAGTTATATGAGAATTTACCACTTCATAATTTATACAGAAATTTTTTTCGTGAATACTATCTCAAAATTATTAGAAGTTATGAAAAATTCAGCTTATTTTGGCATATACCCCTCGAAGCGATTTTTATTTTTAAAAAGTTTACCTTTTATTTTTAGCTTTTAAAAAAAGGCTAACTTTTTAACTTTTTTTTGTATGAGTAAAAAAAGTTATAAATGGACCCATTAAAAAGAGCATAAAATATTATACAAACCCTGAAAATTTGGTAAAAAATAAATAAGTTATAAAAAAGTATAAGTAATTTAAAAATGCTATTTTTAAAGAGTTTTTGCAATTTTCTTAGGAAACGGGAGATTTTGCAGATATATATATCGCTATAACTTTCTTATTATTTATACAATTTTTACCAAATTTTCAGGGTTTGTATAATATTTTATGTTCTTTTTAATGGGCCCATTTATAACTTTTTTTACTCATGCAAAAAAAAGTTAAAAAGTTAGCCTTTTTTTAAAAGCTAAACATAAAAGGTAAACTTTTTAAAAATAAAAATCGCTTCGAGGGGTATATGCCAAAATAAGCTGAATTTTTCATAACTTCTAATAATTTTGAGATAGTATTCACGAAAAAAATTTCTGTATAAATTATGAAGTGTCCGAACATTATGTGGTTAGGGCTCGTATACAGGGTGGAAATCTTAACTGGAATAAATTCTGTATTTTGAAAACCACTTACTTTTTTAAAAAATCCAAAAACAGGTCAATTTATAAATTTACCTGGGGAAATTGTGGTAAATCTTAAAAATATAAGAAACCACCCTTTGAGGGTGCAACCAACCCTAACTTTTTTTTTCAAATGCAAAGGTATATCAGGTGATACATCATTTGAAAGCTCTTTTTAATAGGAATTTATACAAATATGCAATTTTTAATTATTTTTTTTGGTACCTTAAAGAAATACATACTTTTTTTATATCCACCAAAAACGTTGTATATTCAACCGAAAGAATGTATTTTAGTTCTTTAAAATTAGTTGCAAGTAACGTGCACGATTATTTAACAAAACGCATCCAGAATTGCCTCATATTTGCCAAGGGACTGTTAGTAAAGTAGAAGCAAAATATCACGAAAATGGTCATGTAAGAAATATTCCTAGACAACGCCAGCCTATCGTTGAAGACAATACGGAGCTTAATGTACTATTACCAATCCAAGAAAATTCTGTTACTTCAGCTCGACAAATTGCTCGCGAGAACGATTTGAGCCACACCACTGTAATGAAGTTACTACATGCTTCAAAAATGCATCCGTATAAGATGCAAGCAGTACAAGAACTAATTGGGGCGAGCAAATGATAACCTTATTAATGATAACCAAATTTCCTTGGATTGGATACTATTTTCCGATGAAAGTACGTTTACTTTAAATGGTGAAGTTAATCGTCAAAATTGTAGATATTGGAACGACAGCAATCATCATTGGATTGGAGAAAATCATACACAGTATCCACAAAAAGTAAATGTTTGGGCTGGAATAATTGGTAATAAAATAATTGGTCCCGCCTTTTTAAACGAAACTCTAAATGGCAAGGTACTTAACTTTTCTTCAAGAAGATCTTATACCATATTTGGCAGTTCAGTTTCCAAACGAGAATGATCCAGACTTACCAGATAATAGAGTCTGGTTTCAGCAAGATGGAGCTGCACCGCACTACGCATTACCCGTTCGTCGATACCTAAATGAAATATGTCCTAATCGGTGGATTGGTAGAAGAGGTGCAGTTGAGTGGCCAGCCCGATCTCCAGACCTTACCCCGTTGTATTTTTTCCTGTGGGGTTACCTTAAAAATAAAGTTTATGTAACCAAACCAACTAATATTGAAGATCTTAAAGAGAGTATCCGACACGAAACTTCTTTAATATTACCTGAGATGTTGGAAAAGGTTAAAAATGAATTTTATAATCGTCTAGGATTTTGTCAAGAAACCAGAGGAGCTTATTTTGAACATCTTTTATAATAAATCCATATTTATCATAAAATGAAGTTTTTATTATTTATAATTGTACAAAAATAAAATACTTAAAAATTGCATATTTGTATGAATTCCTATTAAAACAAGCTTTCAAATGATGTATCACTTGATATACCTTTGCATTCGAAAAAAAAAGTTAGGGTTGGTTGCACCCTCAAAGGGTGGTTTCTTATATTTTTAAGATTTACCACAATTTACCCAGGTAAATTTATAAATTGACCTGTTTTTGGATTTTTTTTAAAAGTAAGTGGTTTTCAAAATACAGAATTTATTCCAGTTAAGGTTTCCACCCTGTATATTAAACCATCCAACAAATTTTTCTCTGTGTTTTTAAACTTACTTTAAATGTCCAGCAATAAGAGAATGAAAATATCTAAATGCTGCATGGGAATGTTCATTTAGCACCGCGGGATCTACATTTTCATCGTAATCATTGACAAAGCCTTCGGTTTCGTATATGATTTTTTCTTTTACCAACTCCTTCTTTCCAAGGAAAATGTGCAGCATTTCGTAGTAGGAAATGTGTTGGTGTTGGGCGATGAGGATTTTTCTGGCTTCTTGGAAAATAGTTTCATCGTCCCAGTGCGGGTTTAATTTAAACAAAACATCAGCTATTCTGTTGTGCTCACGGAGCAAAATTACTTGTAGAAGGGTCAGTTGCGTGTTTTGGTTTACTCGAGTATCACCTTAAAAATAATGTAAGAAAGATTTAATTTATTTTGCATTTTTATACTTTTTAAACAATAGTTGCAATATTTCATCGGTGATTATGGAATGCTACTAGAAGGGCGTCATTCGATAGGAAATTGAAGTCTCCTTTTTTTGCCATTTTACTCAACGTGCAAAAAACACTATGATAGTTTTAGAAACTTTTTTCCTAACATTGAGTAGATATTGCATTTATAATTCTCGGGGACATTGACGAAAATCATTGCCATTAAAATTCGAAAAGCTTAAGTTTCTATGTCTAAGAGAATAAGAATCCGAAGTTGCTGCACCATTGGACTGCCCCCTTTTTCAATAATTTCTAGAGACATAAATGACTGCGCCATTCGACAGGGTCAAGTTTCTACCTCTCTGTTGATTATGGGGCAAAATTTGCCAAGTGTACCAGGTGAAAAAAAAATTGTCACCGATTTTATTTAAACTTTACTTATTTGTTGTTCTTATAACGAAGAATCATAGCATAAAATTTTTTTGCTCTAGGATTGTTCATTCAAGAGTTATGGATTATTGAAATTTATCGATTTTTTACTTTTTTGTGAAATCGCTTTTTATTTAAAAATTCATAACTTCTGTTCATCTCTTTATTAAATATTTCAATTTAACCACCTTAAATGATTTTTTCCGTACTTTTTAATGGGCTATACCGTTTTTACAACAAAAAAAAATGCAATTTTTTTTTGAAATTTTGCAAAATTTTGCATTTTTTGAGACAATGTGTATTTTTTAATTTTTTTTTTAATAGCATAAAATCGAAGTTTATTATGTTACCTTTGAATAAAAAACTAATACACATTAACACACACTAATACACATTAAAAAAAACTATATCGTGCGGCAGTGTTAATATTTAAAATACATCATTGACTGCTCAAACATAATTTTACATTTTAAATTATCATTTTGTATTCGTTTACTCGCATCTACTAGGTATATAAACGCATACGGCAGTGTAGTAGCTATTCGATGGCTAGACCCGCACGCATTCAAATATGAAAAACTTCCCTTCTACATGTCGGGCCCACTCTAAATTTTTTTTTTATTCAAAGGTAACATAATAAACTTCGATTTTATGCTATTTTAAAAAAAAATTTTGCAAAATTTCAAAAAAAAATTGCAATTTTTTTTTGTTGCAAAAACGGTATAGCCCATTGAAAGGTACGGAAAAAATCATTTAAGGTGATTAAACTGAAATATTTAATAAAGCGATGAACAGAAGTTATGAATTTTTAAATAAAAAGCGATTTCACCAAAAAGTAATAAATCGATAAATTTCAATAATCCATAACTCTTGAATGAACAATCCTAGAGCAAAAAAATTTTATGCTATGATTCTTCGTTATAGGAACAACAAATAAGTAAAGTTTAAACAAAATCGTTGACAAACATTTTTTCACCTGGTACACTTGGCAAATTTTGCCCCATATATAAAATCAAAATAATGTATCTTGTAAGACACCATTGAGTTTGACTTTAACTATAGTCGTGCATAGGTATAGAGGAAAAAAAATATAAAAACAAAATTTAGTATTCAAACGGAGAGTCATCCTATACACTTCAATATTATTCCGTTTGATGTGTATAGTAAATTTAAAAGTAAACTACGTACACGTCTTCTTCTTCTTCTTCTTCTTCTTCAACTTAGGGCGGATTTATGGATTAACCACCGCCCTTGTGGTCCTGGACAAAAATCCTTATTAACCAGATACAAGTTTTAACGTCCAATGGTTCCAGAAGACCCAAAAACCATTGGACAACGGTTGTCTATTAAACACGTGGACGACACAAATAGGTTATGTAACCTTAAAATTTATAATAGCTTTATATAAATTCCTCTATTCCTTTTAAAAAAAAGGACAAAACGAGGAATATTATCTAGCACTGGAATCCGATTCTGTCTTCCCTGAGTCAAAGTCAACTATTTTTCATACTTTTTCATGGAGCAATGCAGGAGCGATGCGCTTCTCACCGAGGACAAAATCGAACTCCTACGTACACGTCATCAATAAAACAAAAAATTTACGCATTGGTACCAACACTAAATGACTAAATCGAAGTCTGTAATTGAATATTTGAATGCATTTTAACCAAATTAAGTTGGCAACAATTGTGATGTTGTCATGTTTACATTCAAATTTTTCATATTTAAATGACACATAAAAAAGAATTTGACGTTTTAGAATTTCGAAGCTGTCAGTTGTGTTTTTGAATATTTCGTTTAGTTCGTGTATTATTTCGTTTATTTTGTTTGTTGTTTGTGTTATTTTATATCGTTTAAGTTTTCAATGCCGTTTTTGTGTTTGTTATATATCGTTTTTTTTTTGTGTTTCCTATATTTAAAATGCAGAAGCATTTAAATAGTCGGAGTCAAGAGTTGGTGTCATCCTTAATACGCTATTTTGAGGCAGAACGGGATAATAATGGACCTTTGTTACCTTTAACAGCTGTTAGAGAGGTAAATAGGATTATTATTAATTATATATTAGAATATTTAACAAAATATATGTTGGATACATGAAATAATAATATATATACCAGAGACTGACTTTATATGGCAAAATTTTTGGGTTTTATATCAGAAAATGTCTTTAAAAATGGCTAAAAACATACTTTTGGCGGTGCATCATATAGGTTATAAAAACTCAGACTTTCGACATTTTGGTATTATTCATGTAAACGCCATCTATCGCCTTGTAGTTGCACTACCACTTTCCCTTGATGCAAGGATTTTAGCATCACATTGACAACCGTGCCCGATCAGCTGATTGATGACGTGTACGTAGTTTACTTTTAAATTTACTATAGTCGCGGCCAAATCTGTATGGGTGCACGTCATCAACGGCATATGACGTCAGCGTTAAGGTCTATTCATACGTGCCCAGACACAATCTAACGCTCGTTTATTGTTGACTGTTTATAGCGGTGGGGGCTGTTATTAAGATGGAATTATAACGTCCTTGTTATAATCTTCTGCACTAACTAATTAGGAGTTTGTTACAGGCAAATTTTTATTAAATGTGTTTAAAGAGAAAATAAACGGAGTTTATTACATTTTTATTACATATGCACATAACAAAAAAATACTAAATTATCAGAAACACAAAAATAATAAATTACCAGTCGTCCTTGTCATCAGAGCAAACCAGGTCAGAATTGAAGTCTGATTATTTCCCCAAATTTATTATTAAGGGCGCAATGTCTTCGAAATCTAATAACGGCTAGTTGCCAACAAGCCTTATATCATTGTTTGCACAATCCAGGGATTGAATCTTATAAACATAATGTATAATATTATTTATAATAATTTGCAACAAACGATGCTTCCGGACGAAATGTCACAATTACAAAAATACGTCAAATATAAAATGACAGCGACCCATCAATAATATTGAACGGTGCGCGCCAGCCTTAAGCTATTACCAACTGGCACACACAAAAATTACTAAGTGAATGGTTTTATTTTGATAATTTCGTGAAAAAACGTTTTAAAACAAGGAAATTGTTACAGTTCTTGGTAAACAATACGCAAATTAATGATTTCTTTTTAATAACACATCAGAATTACGCCTTAAAAAAGCAAATTTAACGGCAGTAACTTTACAATTCAAAGTTGGTAATGCTGACGTCATTATATCTCATTGATGACGTGCACCCATATAGATTTGGCCGTGACTATATATACCTGCAAGATAACATGCTTCTTTTTTTTCCTTCCCTAAACAAGTGGGATTAGTGGGATCATGAGGTGGCCAGTCCTGATCGTTTCTTTGTTCGACTATAAGGCGACCTCCTTTGTTCTCCCTTAGTTGTTTATGACTTTCATCTGAAATACCGTATACTATGGACAGATCCAAGAAATGATTAACTGAATTAATCTAAAATAAGAGTTTATAGCATAGATAAAATTAATTATAATATATTATAGCTATAGATACTAGATAAACTTCTATGCTATTTAATTTACTTGTTCTGCTGGTTGATTGCCTTCAACACACTTCCCATCGCGGTCTGTGTCGGTTCGTAGGAAACTCATACATTTTGTATTGGATACAAGAGACATTATATCTAAAGGTGGTATTGTAATGGGCCAACATTTTTCATCTTTTGTAGAATTATCATTTGCACAGCATGTGTCTGAACCTACGAAAGATGTATAGCTTAAAAAAATGCCCAATCATGATACTTTGTAGAGGTAATGAAAAATAATTCTTACTAAACTTAATAAAAATAACCCAGCTGAAGATACAGTATAATTACCTGTAGTTTTAAGAAGAGCCAAGTCATGAGTTATGATTTGGCCCCACTGCATGGTGTTTAACGTCCAAATGGGATCCTTTAAAGGTATATCCGGATAAACCGTTGTACTAATATAACGTGCTAAAGGAAGTGGTTGTCCACTTTTAGATAATGGTGGGGAGGAGATCCCTAAAAAAATAAAATATACTTGGATCGTTTTCAAAAAACACCCGCCTTCCGCTGTCCGTAAGTTTGAATTCCAATAACTTTGTTAAAAATTATCGGATCATATTGATTTAAAAACCAAGTGAAAGCCTAACAAGCCCTTAGTAAACTCTTTCAGAAAATGTTTGTTTAGTTATTTCAGAATAATTTTTTTTTAATTTTGAAACTTGTGAAACACACATTTTCGAATGACCCATTAGCGTTTTATAAAACTTACACACATGTTTTATTTTAAATATTGAATAACCAGAACTTTGTGTTGCTTTATAGCAATCCATAACATCCTTAGTTAATAAAGTAAACAATTTATATATAAAATAATCAATTTTAATCTACTTTTTTTAAATTTGACTCATGTCCCAGACATTTTTTCCGTGGCGTTACGTCCGTCGCGTTACCGATAGAATATTTAAAAAAAAACATATATATATGGCAACTTTTTTGGCATTCTCGTGATCAACAAATGATGTTCGGACGTACACATTATCCAGCTGAATTTATTTATTCAATCAGGAAGAAGATATCGGTTGAAACAGGTGCGGGTAACGAGAATGTAATAATTGTTTGTCCGCTAAGTTACTCAAAAAAAATAATAAAAATAAGAAAGAAAAAATACTATTTTTCATGTTTATGTTTATTTTAGGGCACTAAAGCTCATTGAGAGTAATTAATGACTGTAATGTCTTATTATTATTTTTTAAATATGGTTTCACAAAAAATTTTCCACTGCGTTACCGAGTCCATTATGTTACCTTATGATAACGCAATGGAATTTAGGGTAACGCAATAGAATTTTTCGACAACAAAGTGGATATTTACCGTCGCTTTTATTAAAAGTAGTTTATGATAAACCAATTTAAAATTATTTGTGATTACAACTCATGATATAGATTACATCCAAGGGAAAATTCCACGCAATATACAAGTACTAAAAGGGACCTTCACCAGCTTATAGTCAAAGAAAAAGGGTGTCTACAATTTAGAAATTGTTATTATGCAAGTGAGCACCACTACAAGGAATTTTGTTTATGCATTACTCTAAAATCGTACCACCCTATATAGTTTCTTTTTTACGTTATCTGATTAAGTCCTTTGTGTACCCCAGTCCGTTGTGATACCAATGTCTATTTCGTTACTTTTTTTTGTTTTTGTTAAAAAAAAATACTTAAAATGATATTTATACACTATCAATTGGTAATACGTGTTTATAAATTAGAGTTTAACTTACTAATACAGTGACTAAAAGAAAATATGAATGGTATTGTTTTTTTAACAAAGAATCGGAAAGGTTTCTTTTAAAAAGTAACTTAACGAACATACATACCTATTTAAAAAAAAAAATTAAAAATTGGAGTCAAAAGTTTGTGAACTAAGTACATTTTATTTTAAATTATTTTTATAACAATTTTTTTATTGAATTAAATTTTGGATTTCAAATTGGTACCTAACACAGTGGAGATATATAAAGCCAGCTAAACAAATTTTTCTGAAAAAAACGTAAAAAAAATTAAAAAGTGCACTGCCTGTCTTAAATGTTAGTAAACAAAACTCTAAACATTTATAAAAATCCAACCAAAAGTCAATTTAAGCAAAAAAAAATGTTGATCTTCATTTTCCTGAAAGCGGGTGTTTCTTGAAACGCTGTGGCTCCCGTCCCGAGGCGGGACCTAAGTTCAGTCCCGATTGACGTCATAATTTTAAGATTTGTTATGTTATAATAAAATAATAATAATAAATTGTACCTGTATACATGTTAAGGGCACGTTAGTTACGTCATAAAACCAAACCAACCCAAACTCAACAACAACCCAACCGACCCCGCCCCATTGCCCCCCCCCCCCGCCCCATTGAGCAAAAAACCCAACTAAAATGGGCAAATTTATGTTACGATAAAAAGAACGACAAAGAAACAACAAATTTATAAAATAAAAAAAGTTTGACAACTTCTAGTAGAATCGAACCCGAATGTTTTGAGTGTAAAAATTGGAGACTGTCAGTTTATGCTTTTTTATAATTTATGGTATAGGTATCGCATGCCAAGCGACCGCCCTACCATCTAATCCATCCAGCTTGACACCAATTATAAAAGCTCGGGGAATAAAAACGGATTTACAGTGTGTGACGTCTGTCGGGATCGAAGTTAAGTCCCGCCTCGGGACGGGAGCCACATCGTTCTTGAAAATGACCCACTTACGACTTAACAGGTTTTTTTTTAATTTTGGCCAGCAAACAAATTTTTTACCAAGCAAGTCATGTTGTTTGCGCTTAAAACTAAATTTTAAATGGAGAATTCACTAAAAATTCCATCTTCTATTCACCCTAGTAATCACGTGTTCGTAATCCAATGCTGCCGGATCTTCTAGACGAGAATGACAGATTGATAACTTTGGTTGGACACAGTCAACATTATCGTTTATTATTGCAAAACTGTGCTGGGAAAGTTAATGTATTTAATTATAAGAATATCTTACATGACAATAAGAAATACAGCCCAAGAAGTCAATCTTTTTAAAACTTTGTAAATGTCTTTTAAGTAGACTCAAGTAAATGTCGAACACTTTAAACAATTATTATAAAAATAGTAGAGGTAAATGTATGTTCGGCTATAATATGGGCTTTAATCGCCTGGTCTATAATATAGTATTATGTTAGTTAAAATAAAAAAAAATTGTTAAAAAAATATTGTAGTTTTTGAGTGCTGAAATTTAATTTTAAGTTTGGAAAATATCTTACCATCTCCATAGTTTGCAGGTAAGAGCCTTCTATATGGAGTATTTGATGATCCAAGCAGAGGCTTTTTTAAATTATTACATGTTCCATCATACGATCTATATTTTGATTTGGTGCAAGGTGGTGGAGATACAACACAATCCGATTTTACCGAATCATCACTACTTGAATGGTGCATAAAATGTAATACCAACATAAAGATATGAAATAACTTTATCATTATTGTGAAGGGTGCCTAAAAATTACTTATTTACAGATATTACAAAAATAATGTAGCTTCACTTTGGGGTATAAAACTGGTCAGCCATTTTACTGCAGACTAGAAAACAACTTGATATTTTTATACAAAAATTATTGCAGAATCGTATACAGAAGAAAAATCGACCAAAAATATTTTTTTTTCATTACAGCGCCATCTATTATATATGAAAAAATGTTTTAGACAAAATCTACCTATTTTTGTCGAATGATCTGAATCTCTAATAAAAAAATAGGGTGTTTCATTGAAAATTTACCCCCTGTAGTAAGGAGGAGAGTATGATGACCAATTTTAGTACTGATTGATTTCCCCCCTCGAATCATTTAATTTTTATTTTAAACATTTTTTCGTAAAAGGCATACTAACTGAGATATTTTAAAGTTTCAAGTTAAATGACTCACCCTGTATGTGGAACGCCAAAGCGTTTTTAATTCCGTAATTTTTATTATCGAGCAACAATATTTTTTATCACCTTGTTTACACGTTGCTAAGGATTTTGACACTTTTCTTGATTTGACATTTAAATACTGTGTTTGTTAAAATAATGAATTATAAACTCTAAAACATCGATGGGTTGGTGTAAACGATAATAAAATTAAGGAAAGTTTGAATACATAAGATTTATTAAAGTCTTTTTATATTTTAAAGCACATTTTAATTTCAAATGTCAAACTGACAATTCGTTAAATCCTAAAATTCATTATATTTTCTCACTAAATCCCACTGGGAAAGAAACCTTACAAAATATTGCTGCAATGTTCGCCGACTTTACAAATAAAATATTTCCTGTGCTACTTGCATTAACATAAATGAAATGTTACATTTGAAATATTGCATATAATAATTTCCAACAACCTTAAATTTGAAACATTATTTAAAGATTCACATGTAAAGTTTTTACAATGTTATATTTGTAACATATAGCATAAAATATTGCATAAAAGTTTTTAAACATTACAATTATAATATTGCAGACATAACTTTCTTTCAATGTTTCAATTGAAATATTAACACAACTTTCAAATGAAAAATGTTTGCAACTTTACTTTAAATATACAATAGAAACATTTATTTTGGAATGTTTGGAAATATTTTTGAAACATTGCAATTATAATATTACATTGATAAGTTTTGGGCAATGTTTTATCCGAAATATTACATTAAGATGATTTTTGCAATGTTACTTTTTATAAACAATATAAACATTTAATTTGCAAGATTTTTGGAACATTGCAATTATAATATTACATTGATAAGTTTTGGACAATGTTTCATCCGAAATATTGCATTAAGATAATTTTTGCCATGTTGTTTGCAGACTGACTTGCCGATGCATCTCGCCGTTGTCCTGGTCATTTATATCTTTATAAGTGAACAAAGCCGAGCTTGATGCGTGTCTCCCGTCACCGGCTGCCTGACACTGATGAGACCCAACAGGTCGAAACAGTCTGTCTGTCAGTGTTGGTGGGTATGGTGCATTCAGTGTTGCCAGATCTCCTGTTTTAACAGGAGATCTCCTGTTTTCACTCTCGAACTCCTGTTCTACTGTTTTCACTATGAGATCTACTGTTTTTAACCTCAGTGTCTATTTTTCTGCTTTTCTACGAACATACCTTGTGGTTTGGCTAATATTTCAAATTTCAGCGTCGACGGTCCGTATGAACGGTGAATAGCATTGATTTAAATTTGCGCGGTTTTTCGTTCGTTTTGGTTCGGTTCGTTCGACTTCCTTTGAATTACGATCCCTAACCGTTCTTTACGCGTGCGCAGTTTGCGTAGTATTTATGCAACTGCGGCGCAGTTACTGCGCAAGATAGGTATAATTAATTTCGCGATTAAGTTCGTTTTAGTGCCAGTTTTGTTATTATTTTAGTTAATGATTAAACAATCATAGTGCTAATTTTGGTTTACAGTTAATTTGACCATGAGCAGGTAATTTATATATATAAGAACTTTTTTAGTAGAGTTAGTTAAATTGTTAAATATATATATAAATATATTTCAGCTCTGAGGAATATGAGAAATCACAATCAGGTGGAGAAGGCACGTCCACTCCCAAAAAAAAGAAAATAAAATACTCCCAAAAATATAAGAAAGATTGGGAAAATGATGAACAGTTTAAAGGCTGGATAAAACAGGGAAAAACAGACACGGAAGCAATTTGCACTGCCTGCAATAAAACAATCAATGTTGGTCAAACCGGCAAAACCATTCTTTTGCGGCATAAAGAAAGTGTTTTGCATATGAAAGCAGCAAAGTGCAAGAAAAATCAAATAGCACTGACTAGTATGGGCAGTTTTAAAAAGGCAAATTCACTTGAGGTAGCAGCTAAAAAAGCAGACTTGCATTTAGCAGCTTATGTCACTGAACATAATATATCTTTTAATGCTATGGAACACTTGCCAACACTAATTAAAAAAATGTGTCCCGTTTCAGACATTGCAAAGGAAATTAAATGTGGTCGAACTAAATGCGCATCTATAGTAAAGAACGTTATTGGGAAACAAAATGAAATTGACGTTATAAATATTTTAAAAAAATCAAAATTTTCGTTAATAATAGACGAGTCAACTGACAGATCGTGTACAAAACATTTGGCATTGATTTGTAGGTACTTCCAAAATGGAAAGTAAGTTCTTTGATTCCTAGTTTATTATTTTAATCAAAGTTGATCTAATTTTCAGGATTTTTGACGGTTTTTTAACATTAATACCAATAAAATATGCCAAAGCCGAGGATATTTACAACAAAATTACCACCTATTTTCAAGAAAAAAATGTACCATATAAGAACAATCTAATTGGCTTTGCGTCCGATGGAGCAAATGTCATGACGGGAAAATACAACTCCGTCATGAGTCGGTTAAAAGAGGAAGTTCCTGATATATTTTTAATGCGCTGTATATGCCACAGTTTTCATTTATGCGCATCAGCTGCATGTGGAAAGCTACCCAGAACTGTTGAAGATGTAGCAAGGGATGTATACAACTACTTTTCTAATAGCCCTAAACGTATTGAGGAGTTAAAAGACTTTCAGATTTTCACAAACACCAAAATTCATAAATTACTCCATCCTGCACAGACTAGATGGTTATCCTTGGAAAGTGTTGTGGTGAGACTATTAGAGCAATACAATGCTTTAGTTCTGTTTTTCACAGATGCGGTAGCTACTGAGAGAATCGTTGCAGCAGAAACAATTTTAACACGACTAAAAGAACCACTTACAAAATGTTTTTTACAATTTCTAGAGTTTGTTTTACCATTTTTTAATAACATGAATAAAGAAATGCAATCATCGCTGCCAAAAATTCATAAAATACATTCAAATTTATCTGCAATTTACAAAACAATTCTAGAGTGTTTTATAAAAAGAGAAATAATCCTTGAAAAGTCCCTTGATAAAATTGATTTCAAAAATCCACAAAATTTTCTTCCGTTAAATGACATTTATTTGGGTTCTAAAGTATTATTGTCCGAGAACAATTTAACGAACGGAGAAAAACACATTTTGCGTACACGATGTTTGGATTTCTTTATCGAAAGCTGTGTACAAATCAGTAAACGGTTTGATTTTAGTGACAATATTTTAAAAAAACTAGAGATAATAGATCCTCATCATGTACTCTTAGGCAAAACCTCCACCATAATTCCCTTAGCACGACACTTTCCAAATTTGATTAAGGAGTCTGAAATGCAAGTATTAGATAATGAGTGGCGATTATTGCGAAACACCAAAATTACTAATACAGGCTCTATTGAACAGTTCTGGGTTTCCATTAAAAATATATGCTATGGAGACTCCACACCAATGTTTTTAAATGTATCAAATTTTGTAATTAATTTATTATGCTTGCCGCACTCCTCTGCAAACGTGGAGCGAATATTTTCGCAAGTAAATTTGCTAAAAACTAAGCAGCGAAATAAATTATCTACTGCCAGTATTGTGGGGTTGCTCCATAGCAAAAGTTATTTAAATTCAAAAGATGAATTATGTTATTCTTTTAAATCTGAAGATCTAATAAAACTACATAATTCTCAAATGTATAAACCGACATCTGATTCAGAGCCAGAATAATTTTTTTAATTTTGTCACGGTCCGTGATTTAGTTTTTGTTTGATTTTATTATTAATAAAATTGTATTTATACCTATTTATTTTGTTTAAATTTACATTTATGGAGTTTTTGATGTTATACCTACATCTTATGTGATATTTAAAATTTAATTTGTTTGTTATATATTCTGTTACTCAGTTTATGTACACAATCAACGATTCGCGTTTATATGTTATTATTTATGTTATTATATTTTTTTATATTTCTCAGCACACAAAATGTCCAGCGGACGTCCCATGGACGTCATGCGAACATTGGACCTTCAGAGGACATCCATTGGACGTCCCCGGGATATTTGTGTTATATGGGTTTGTGCGTGTACTTGTGTTCCTCTATAAAAAAATATATTTTTTTTAAATCTCCTGTTGAAAAAAGTGATCTCCTGTTTTTTTGGCTACTTTCCTACTGTTGACAAGAATTTCCATCTGGCAACACTGGGTGCATTAGTAAATGGACCATACCATTCGGAAAACGCGCTTCGAGCTCCTCGGCTCGGTGGCGAAACGGGAAGGCATTTCAGTCTTATTGGTTGCCTACTTCTGGGGTAAAGTAGAAAACCTATTTTTATATATATATATATATATATATATATATATCCGGATTATAGGCCTCTAGCTTACGGATAAATAATTATAATTAATTATTATTATAATATTTCATATTAATTTAATTGCAATCTTCCTGTAATGTGGCAGGAACCTTACATTAACAAAAATAACATTTAGTAACATTGCAATTAATACATTTAAGCAACATTTAATTTGTAAATGTAATGTTTCTGAAACATAAGGCTTTGTTGCAATGTTCCTGCAACATTGCCACAAGGATTTTTGTAACATTACACCTAACAAATGTAA